GGCACTCCCCAGAGGGACCCCACAGATGCAAACAAACCAAATGCAGGCATTCCTGTTGCTTTAGCAACAGACCATGTTCCCTACTTCCAAGGAAGTGATGAACACACACTGTTGCACTTCAAGGAGCTATAGGAGCTCTAGGAATCAGGAACAGGCTATTTGTTCCTGTCTTTGTGTTTAGGGAATGATTAACAGCAAATCCAGGCTGGCCATTACCATCTTCAGGAATTCCATTCCCAGCCCTCTCTGGACTTTGGGTTCACATTCCACAGAAAACTCATTGTTTACCCATGGCCTTCACCCTACACTCCCCTGCACCCACTTGGTAAACACCCAGGGTGTAATGATCCCTGCTGGTGCTGGCATATGCTTCCAGCCAGGGACCCACTGCCCCAAGGCTGCAGTTCTAGCACTGGACCCAAAGCAGCCAGAGCTGCTCCTCTGTCTGTAACATCCCAAGGAAGTCAGTAGTGGATGGCTTCTGTGACTTCTTATTGTTGAATGACACTGAGGGAGGCAAAGCCTGGTACCATGACGGGCAATGACCATGATGATTTCCCGTTATCAAATGTTCATCTGCCACCACACCCAGTCTCTAGGGCCTGTTCACAGTGCCCCTCTGCAAGACCCTCCATGCTGAGGGATCAGTAGTGAATTTGCGGAAAATATAAAGCTTGAAGTCTTATATCCCACCTACCCTCCCAGACCAGCTGGGGCAATCCTAGCTCCTGGCCTATGTGGGCTCTAGGCCTGAGTTCTGCTGGGGTCAATGGCAACCCCACCTTCCAGGCTCCAGGCCTCCTGTGACCCATCCCAACTGGGTCCCCACTTCTCTCCCCTTCCCTCTTCGGGCCCAAGCACCACGCATACAGCAGAGCCCCAGAGAAGGACCTAGGCCATTCCCCACTCTGGCAGCATCTCAGGCAGGACATCCTCAAATCTGCAGGGGAATCATGAGGTGCCAGGCTCTAGGCTCAGAGGCCTGGCCTGTGGACAGCTCAGAAGTCACATCATCTGTCAGTACCATCATCTAGATGTCACTGTCCTGGGGCAGAAATCACCTACCAAGACCTTCCTTCAACTGTCCTATTTCCTAAAAACTTGAGACTTCTCAAGGTGTTTTCCCAGAACTCTTGCAAACAGAATCCCAAGGGAACTTGCCATTAGCATTTGCCAGATAGGACCAGGAGCCTGTCTGCACCCCTGTGGCCCACCATTTGGAATGTGTGGCCTCTGTTAAGGAGTTTCCACCCTGATTCAATCCATACACTCCCACTGCACTGCTCCAAGGGCCCAGGGAGAGGGTTGGACAATGCATACCCAAACACTGTCCCCGTCCTTGGGTGCCAGGCCTCAGCTCAGCACCAACATCTGGCAGCCAGTCAGGGAAACCCTGCTTTGTTGCTGCTGCTACCCCAAACTCCCAACAGCTGGCAGGCTTTTAAGAGCTTAATCCCCCAGGAAGTGACGTATGTGCTGCAATAACGCATCGAGCCATGCATCCAGAGTGACCCAGGTTGCTGTTCCTGAGCCCTGGGCAGGCTCAGGGTACCAAGCATCAGCGGGCATATTCCCCTACCCTGTTTAAGACTAGAAACCCCTAAAGGGAAGGCTTATGTGAGAGATACTCCAAAGACAACCTCAGCAGTCCCACCAGTGCCAATGAGATAAAAACACACATTAGCTGGTCAAATCAATTCCTGAATCTGCTTTCTGCAACAACAAAAACCATTTCCTATCAAGAGATCTGACAGGCATGATGGTGCAAGCCTACCATACCAACACTCTGAGCAGGAGTATCACAAGCTGGAGTCCAGATTAGGCAATGTAGCAACATAGTAAGACCTTGTCTCAAAATTTAAAAAAAAATAAAATAAAAAATGTCTGCAGCTGTAGCTCAATGCAAAGGCTCTGGGTTCAATCACTAGTATGGGGAGTATGGAGAAGAGGAAAAAGAAAGGAAGAAATCTGATTAGAAACCGCTTTTACCTGCTATCATTCAATTTCCTACCACAGAAACAAGACCACTAATCTTCTCACTGCCTTCTAGCTGCACTCTCCCAGTTGGTGATGTGTTCTGAGTCCTGGCAGCATGGGGGACCCAAGGGCTTGGCTTCCCCAGGATGTCAAGGATGTCCAGGTACAATCCCAGCCCATGTACACGAGCTGTGGGACCTACAAGAAGTGGCTTCACTGCCCTGAGCCTCCGGACCCCGATTCTATAAAACAGGAATAGTAATTGGTGGTGACTTTCTTCTCAGGTTTAGTGGGACTTAAGATAGCAAGAGTAACTTACCATGGGGACATATGCCTATAATCCCAGCTAATTTGGATGTACTACTCAGGAGGCTGGGGCAGCGGGATCACAAGTTTGAGGGCAACTTAGACCCTGACTCAAAAAAAAGGAAGAAAGGAAGAAAGAAAGCAAAACAAAGCATAGTAAAGCAAGCAAGCACACACAGAGAAAGGAGGGCTTCCATATCCCAGCTGCTGACTCTATTATTATTGCACCTGCTGGTGGTTCTTTTCCCACCTTGGAACCGAGACTACATCATTTCTGCCAAAGGCACTCAGTCCCAGGAATGCAGTCAAACAACCCAGACCTCTTTTAGATGTTTTCATATCCCCTCCTGCACACACACTAGGGACACTTGCTGTGCTTTACACTCAGCACCCCACAAACATTTCTATCACAACCCCTGGGCACCTGCACTCACTGTCCTGCTACTCCTCTTTGCCCCCACCAGCCTGGACACTCCCAGGGGTAGCAACATGCATGCAGCTCCAGGCCTGGCACATAGCAGCAGGTCCTTCAGTGATGATCTCATTTGGATTCAACATGTGGAGAAAGCCCTAGATCAGCTGTGCCAGTAGAGAATGACAGGTCTCTGGTTTTAGGTGCTACAACCCAACACAAATGTTACAGGGTCTGGGGTCAAGGGAAGGGGGGACTCAATCTATTCACAGTCTTTCAGTAAGTAATTCATTCATCCAAAGCCCAGGAGAAGGGTTTGGGGGCTCCAAAGGTAAAAAAGACAGACTTGTGTGCAGTATTCCCTTCTCTGCTCCCCAAACTCCATGATGGTCCAGGTAGAGAGTTTCAGGAAATTAATGAGGTCATTTGGATGAAGGAGTCTAAAGTGTCCCTCGACCAGATTCACAGTGCTTAGGGATAACTAGGGCTTCCTGGAGAGGCGGTGTATGTCAGTTCCCTCTGACCATGCCCTTCTGGCTGCCCTAAGAGCCACTCTCAGGCTCAGAAGGAGGCTCTCCCGGCCCGGTAAGGAGACCCTAGGGTCAGATGCCGTTGTCCATAGCTACCCCAGGACTCCACACACACCCCTAGGCCCTGCAGGCTCCACTTTGGCCTCTAGGCCTCCACACACACTCCTAGGCCCCACATTGTGCTCCACTTTGGAGAAGTCCCCATTACTCATGGTGGACGCACAGGAATCCCAGAACTCTATCCCTTAAGACTCCATTATATACTCAGAAATAAGGCAAGCATGCTAAGGAACTCTTTCTACAAGAGTCCACTCTTAGGAGTATTTTGTGTCTGGGCCCACTGCTGGCCTATTCTCAGTTGGACTGCCCTCCTCTCACTCTGCTGAAATATGAAATCCAATGTTATCTTGCAATTCTCTCACCTTCCTCTGGTCAGATTTCCTCCCATCTGAATTCAGCCTCAATAATCCTGTCTCCTACATATCCACCTCCCACCCTCCCAGGGCCTGGATCAAGTCCCCTGAACTTGGTAGGGGCCCCAAGACACCAGCAGGGGGCCACACTCACAATCCAGAGCAACAACTAAATAAGCCTAGAAACATCTGGGAACTTACCGAATACGAACAGGGCTTGCTAAAGAAAACGGTGCTAGAGACAGTAGGGCAGAGCTTCTCCCTCCCTGTTGAGGATCTAAATTTGTTAAAAGCAGCCAAGGGCTGTCAACAGGGCCCCCAGGGACCTACCTTTAAAAGCCAAAATCACCTTATTCATAAAGAGCTCCTTTGACACCTGAATCCCAGCCTCCTGCATAGAGGCCCAGAGAATGAACCAGCTTTCCACCCATATCCTCCTTCTTGGAAGTTTTCCTAGCATGATAATGGAATTTGTTTCCTTTCCTTGAGAACATTGCTTCCAGAAGTTTTAACATTCAGCCACTATTATGACAGCCTCCTTTGGACAGCACCAAGGGTCTCTCATGCCCTCTTTAGGGATACTAACTTCTGGGGTAAAAGCCCACAGCTACCACCTATTAACCCTCCTTAAAACAGCCACATGCACTACCCCTGCCTTAATTAGCAGTGCAAAGCTCCCCGCCTCACGCCCAGGCAATGGAAGATTCACTGCTTTGATCAGAGGCAGTCTGGCTGCGACCTACAAGTGATTGGAAAACTAGGGTCTCCAAATGCAAGAGCCTCTAGACATCCCACTGTCCCCTCCCCTCCACACCAGGTTTGGTGCCCACACCAGGTCGTCACTATTACAGAATATGGATAGCAGGGGACCTGGATCCACGATGACTTCCACTAGATCCCTGGCCAGCAGAACCTCCCCGGTCGGTCGGCGAGGTCGAGGGTCGAATTCCAGGTAGAGGTCAAACCACTATCCCCTACGGGACTTCCAAAATTACCTCCTTGCTTTCAGGAGCTCCGCTTAATTATCTAATTGACCTCATTTAACGTTCAAACTTGAGTTTAGAAGAGAAACAGGTCACACACCTATCCAATTTACAACCTCGAATTACCACGTGGAAACCACTACAGTATTTTCGGATGACCTCGGAGGGCTTCCAGGAGCATACTCTACCTACAGCCATCAGCCCCACGTATTCTGGCCTAATCCTCCACCCGCGGGCCCCAGCACCTTCTCTGATCAAGCTGCCCAGAGCCCCTTTAAAAGCTCTGCCGCCAAAATTCAGTCACTATAACCATTCCTCTGCCCCTCTGGGCGCCCCCAGCCGCACAGAAAACGAGAACCTTGTCCGCGCGTCTACCCACCCAGAACTGGGCATCCGCGGGAGGGCGCCGCGCCTCGACTCCGGGACCCCGGCGGCGAGGTCCACTGGCGATCCCCTCGCCTTCCACGCCCAGACAGCGAGGTCCACGGTGACCCTCGAACTCAGGAGGTGAGGTCTACAGCAACCCCCGGAGCCTGGCGGCGGAATCCACTGCGAGCCCCACACCGGCTGCTCCTAGGAGAAGTCAACGCGTGGATTGCAGGGGTCGCGCCTGCTGGCTCAGTCTTCGGCCCCAGCCCAGGGAGCGAGTGCGAGGTCTGCGTCTCTGGAAGCGCTCCCCACGCTGGGCGCGCCCGGGCCGCCCCGTGGAGGCGCCTCGGCCGCGGGCGCGCAGGCGGAGCTGCCCGCCGCGGGGGAGGAGGGATGCCCGGGCGAAAGTTGCCAGGGAAACTTGAGCAACTCGAGCGCGCCGGTGCCAACCTTCTGCATAATTCACAGGCGATGGCGGCCGGACGCGGGGGCCGCTCCCCTGCGCCCGCCGGGTCCCAACACCCCTGCAGAAAAGCGTGGCGGCAGGGGTCGGGCACCCGGCGGGAGCTCCGCGCGACCCCGGAGACTGGGGCGCCAGGCCCGCCAGCCCCCTGCCCGCACCCGAAGCGCAGGCACCGGCTCCCTGGACCCGGCTGCTGCACTTCCGCGCGCTAGGCTGGTAGGGCTGGGGCGACCGCAGCGGGGTCTCTAGGGACCTTGCACAGCGGCAGGGTCTGCGCCCTCTGGCGGCCCCGCGCCCGCTCCTCCGCCTGGTTTGCTGGCCCACGTCCGCGAGAGGCGGGCGGCGACCTACGGCAGGCCGACTCAGGCGAGGGGCGGAGGCTGATCCACCTGCGCTGTCCCAGGGGAAGCGGCAGGAAGAACTAGAGGTGGTAGGGGACAAAGAGGGTGCTCCTGCACTCTGAGCCCAGGCTGCTCCCAAAGCTTTAAAAACCGGTCTTTGCCCCGTTGGGAAGCCGTGGGGGTGGGGTGTCTCCTCAGAGAAGCGAGCCCCACCTGCACGCGCGCATCGTCTCCCCAGTCCCCCGCCCCCAGCCTCTGTGGGTCCAGTTCTGCGCTTACCAGGTAGTTAGTGCTCCTGGAATCAAGACGCACCCAAAATGGCTCAGAGAATAGGGTTGGGTATCTAGGGGCAACCTACTGTCCTTTCCAGCTCGTGCCCGCAGCGCCCTGCGCCCCCAGCCGCGGTCTCACCTGCTCGCACGGCGGCCCGCGCTTTGGGGGCGGGCCCGAGCCCCCGCCTAGGGCCGGAGTCCGCGCTCACCTGGCTCGGCCGCGGGGACCGGAGCGCGGGAGCCGCCGCTGCCGAGGCTCAGGTGTCGGGGAAGGAGCGCCGCGGCCCCGCCCCGTGCGGCAGCCCGAGAGTAGGGGCTCGGGGGGTGGCGCGGGCCCGGGCAGGGGGAGGAGGGGTTCTCTCGGCGGCGCAGGGGTCCGCGTCACCCCTCCCGCCACCGCCCCACCTGCCCCGGCGCTCCCGCTTGGCGAGCGGGGTCTGTTGTAGCAACCCCTGGAGACGCCAGGCGCCCAGAGCCGCCCCGCCCCGCCGCGGGCTGCGTGGCTCACGAACCCCCTCCCCCAGCAGCCCAGCGGACCAGAAAGTCCCTTCATGTTGTAAAGCCCGGCTCATTCTGCATGATTATCCCGAACGCGGCCGGCTTCCACCTTGGAGTATTTTAATAGGATTCGGAAGCAGAGCCCGAGTACACAGGAAGCGTTAGCAGAGCCAGTAAAAACTTTGTACCTGGGCAACTCACAGCTGCTGCTTCCCAGGCCGCGGGGTCTGGGCACCTTCTCCCCAGGGGCCAGACACCTGTCTCCAACAACTGCCCCGCGAGCCGAGGTGGGAGTGGGAGAGAAGAGCCACTGCTCAGAGGAATCCTAGAGGCCAAGCGGCACCCTCTGCAGTCACCCAGGGATCCTATTTTACCAAGGACTCCGGAATTGCTGGCCTTGCGAAAGCCCAAGGAGCCTGTCAAGAGCCTCTGCCCCCAGCTCAGAGCCCTGGCATGGTCCCCAGTCCCTGTGTGCTCGTGGCCTAGAACTCCTCCAGACGCTCAATTCACCAACTCTACCCTGCAGGAGCTGTGTCTCCATCCAAACTACTGAGTTCTTTTGTCCTGTGTTTTTCAATAATGGAAAGGGATGGTGTTTCCTGGCCTGCAGAGTCTTCAGTCTTATGGGTTTGGGCTGAGGGTAGAGGTCTTGCACCAGGGTCCAGTCTTGAACACTAACAGTAGGCAAAATCATCTGTACCCCCCACGAAGAATGGATATATGTATGTATATGTATCTTTAAGTCACTCTTATAGAACATGCCTGAGAGATTTACATGTGCTGGTGACTTCAACATACCAAAGGCAAAGTTAAATATTTGCTCTAGATACTTTTTTTTTTTTTTTGGCCTTGCATAATTGTCCCACATTTCAAAGAAGTTTTTACAAGCACTTAGGTTAGGGGAAAAAAAAAAGATCGTGTTTAGGGCCTGAATATTTCAGGACATGCAAGGAGTAAATATTGTAATTCCTTGAGGGAGTTCCTAGCAGCAAACTTCTATCTCTCCTCTGCTTCCTCTAGCATAAAGCTTGATAAAATATTTGTTGAATGAATAAAGGAGGCATTCTGTCAAATGTTCATAATCCCTAAAAGAGGAAGAAAGAAGCTTAGCAGGATCTCATAGGCTACTGGGAGAGGTGGTCAGCCCAGCATTCTGATGTCCTTTGGGTTTACCAAGAACAGATTCAAGGTGTGGGTGGCAGGTGAGGGCTCCACTTCCTCATAATTTGGTCAGCCCCCACCCCAGAGAAAGTGTATCATCTAAGTGAATGTGGTGTGTTTGCCCTACAAACCCTGCTCAAAGGCACATCCCCAAGATATTACCCTTCTGCTACCAGATGTACCCCACCCCCATGCCCTGTCCGGAGTTTCTAGAGAAATAGCTGCACATAGCCAGGAAAGTAGCTTGGTGGAATTCAGCTGTGAACAGTTTCTGCTGTCCCCACAAAAGGCACAAGAGCCGATACTTTACTGTTGTCATCAATAAATACTTTCCTGGGGACCCAGCCTCAGCCAGCCTGTTCATCCAAGTGACACCCCTGGGCCACCCCCTCTGGTACCTCTGCCCTGTTTGTTATCCAACAGGAGCTGACTGTGGTGAGAGCCCATTGCTTGACATTTAAGGACAAGATCCTGCCTATGTCCCAGTTTCTTTGTATCTGTTTAGGGCTATCCAGTCCAGCCTTGTACAAAGTTACAAAGTTTAAGCCATGTCCTTTGAGTCTTTAACAACTTCATACAGAGTGGTTCAGGGCCAGGTCACACTGTAGCAGGTGCTTACCCTGACCTAAGGCCCCAAGAAGTGTTTCAGGTAGGGGGAGAGTCCCCCCCCCCCCCCCGCTGTCTCCCAGCATCAAGTTTCACGGAGCCATTGCTCACCTGAGGCAGCCTCATTCAGAATCCTCATTTTTGGCGGCTCCGCCACTATACACATCACAGAGCTCCTCGTTTTTGTTTCAGTTTAGGAAATGTAGAAATCACCCTTTTTGCTTCTTGGTTTCAGAACTCCTGTTTCTATTTTGGTGAGCTGTCTTCCCTGGGTTCTCCACATATATGATGTGGAAGAAAAGGCTGAGGGAACATGCATGCAGAAGGAGGTCATGATGTCCAGGGTACAATTTTTCCTCTTTTCTTTTAGATCCTGAAAGCTGCAGCTGTTAGTTACAATGTTGATGGACGGCACACCACGACTTCCCAGAAAGAGGAACCATTTCACAGAGAGCTAGAAACTGGGACATCTACTGTGAAGGGATACAAAATATAACCCTCTTTTTTGTCCTTGGAAAAAACATAATAAATATTTTGTGACTTAGATTAATTCAGATGCTCGCTACATTCAGCAGCAGTCCCTGTGTGGCTTGTGCCTAGAAGTGCCTGGGCTCAGGGGTCCTTACGGAGGCTGGCACTTCTTCAGGCGAAGGTTCTCAGACTGCCTGAGCTGGTATGACCTAACTCAGCTCCTCTGCTTACATGTGAGAAGCTGGGGTCTAAGCCAGGGAAGAGACTTGTCCAATGACACAAAGTCAGACCAGGTAAAAAGTCAGGCATGCACAGGTGAAGCTAGGTAAAGGCAGATGTGCACAGGTAATGGTGTTCCAGTAAGCAAGTATCCCCCCATTCCCCAGTCGCTGCCTCATTCCCCTAAATTTTTGTAATTTTTTAAACTTTTTTTTCCATTACAGCAAGAAGGATTACTTCCTCTTGTTCCTCCACATCAAATATTGGAAAATGTACTCATTTCTCCATAATTTCATGACAATTTCTAGCTCAGTCGCATAGACCTGATAGTGCAAATAGTCCCAGATTTTGCAAACCCCCAACTCCTCTGCAGATATGCCTCCCATGTTTCATCTCTGTGTCTTACCCAGACATTTATTACTCTCCACTAATTTTCCATGAGCTTATTTTCCATGAATTTGTTCCGAAAGGCCTCCTGGCACTTTGTCTGAACATAAGAGCCAAGGGACTGTAACCAGGAGAGTGGAGAGATGGTTGGCTTCTCCCAGAATCTGAGATGATAAGAGGGGCTCTTTTGAAGCGTTTCTCAGAAGATGCAGGGAGCAGCAGGCTCCATAGAGGAGTGGCTGGGCTTCTGTCTAGGCTGCAGCCCTTTCCCTGTACCTCCAGTACACTCCATCTTTCTGCCTCCTCCCAGGATAAATCCCAGGCCTCCCGCTGGTGTGAGTCAGCCTGAACATGGAGATGTTGATGCCTCGGGAGCAACTTTCTGTCGCTGAGGAAGCAGAGCGGTGGGCAGAGGGGAGATTCCAGTTCTTCCCAGCAGGCCAACCGTCCCATAGAGAGGCATTCTGGGGCTTCTCAGAGGTGACTCTGGAGCTAATAGCAGAGAGCTAGACAAGGCGCTATTTGGGAAATCCCTTCCTCTGTGTCCCCTGCTCTGTCAGGGCCCTCTCCTTGGGTCGCCTTTCATATACAGCAACCTGCAACCAAGTTTTATTTAGGCAAGGCTTTCAGGGAATGTCAAAATAACATGAAAATGGTCTTGGGCTTTTGTGTGAAGCCATGGATCAGACACCTACAGTCACCCTGCAGGCCACAAGAATTGAGACTAAAGGAACTTCACAGAAGCAAAAAGGTTTGGCTGATGTGAAACCAACTCAGCAGTGTGATGCTTTATCAGAAAGGGAACACGTAAGAGGTTCCCATGGCAAACAAATAGTCCAAACCTTTCAAATTATTAGCAGAAGGAATGCAGCACAATACGTTTTACAGAAACAATATGCATATGTAAATAAGGTTTATTTCAGTAATGTTAGAATGTTTCAATATTAGCAAACCATTAGATTTTTTTCCTTTTTGTGTGGTGCTAGGTATTGAACGCAGGGTATGGCGTAATTGGACATGCTAGGCAAGTGCTCTATCTCTGAACTATAGCTCCAGCCCAGGATATATGTTTGATCCAACAATATTGCTTAGTGAAAAAGGAATCATTTCAGAGTGTTTTAATATTACTCAATTTTACATATAAAGCCAAAGACAGCATCATGTCTAGATATATTAAATACTAAGTAAGTCACCTTCATTCAGCTCAAGGAACAAGAAATAGGAGCCTGATAACATTAGCAGTACTTACCATTTCTGCAAAATACCAGCCAATGCAATCAAACAAGAAAATTGAATAAGAAACGTATGTATTGGAAACAAGAAGGTGAACTTGCCATTTGGGGAGGTGCCATGATTTTCTTCATGAAAAAGAAATAGCAGAAACTGGAAGCTGATGGAAGAGGGAGCCTACAAAACCAGCGGCCTTTCTATTTATGAGCAAATAACCAGTTGGAAAAACAGAGGAAAATGAAACCATTTCTGGAGCCAATAGTACAACAGGAAAAATGTTGTGGACTAGAGTAAGTCCAAGGAAAACCTTAAAAAAAAAAAAAAAAAAAAGAAGCCTGCCGTATCCTAAGAAACTGCCATAACTATCAAGTGTGCCATGACAGCAGGAATAGAGTGATGGAGGAATTGGCCTGCTGGCTGCCTGCATAGGATCTCCAGCCACAGCCACTTTCCTTTCGGTTAGCACCCACGCTCTTCCCTCTGTACCTCCCATGTGCACACAGCTTCTCTTTCTGTGACTCTTCCTGTGCACCAAAGCTCAAGTATGGTCGGGGTGCTGGGGCCACAGAGGATCTTGCACCGTTTCTCTCCAGTGTCCACAGTGTGACTCTGGCTTGCTCACCTTTACCTGAAGCTGTGCCATAGAACCTGGCTCTTGGCACATGTTCATTGTGCTCTTAGGGAATGAGGGGAGGCAGGACAAAGGAAGCAGGGAGGGGAGGGAGGAAAGAAGGAAAGGAAGAAGTAGCAAAATAAGTGAGAGAATAAAGGGAGCAAACCCATGGGGAAAATCACTTTGATACAACTGTGCTTTTAAACAACATATTAAAAAGGAGGAGCCAGGTGTGGTGAAGCACACCTGTAATCCCAGCACT